ATAATAATAATAATAATAATAATAATAGAAACTGTTACTTAAGGTGAAACCGTTGCGTTGTTTGCTAGCTGTGGAGGCAGCCCTGAAAACTCTACAAGAAAAGATCTGCCGTCTGGAGTTGGAGAAGTCACAAGCTGAAGATAACCTGTGCAGCCTCTCCGTAGCAGCTGCTCAGTATAAGAAGGCCTTAGAGCATGATTCCTACAAAAAGGACATAGCACAGCAAGAGCTGATGCAACAGAGGAAAGGTATTTCTCTTGAGTGACAAGGCGTAGCCACAGCAACTCCAAGACTGCATAATCCAGGGAGCGTTTGTTTGTTGTGACAAACTGCTAATTAATGCACCCCCTCTTTCTTTTTTGTTTCAGAATTGGGGAGGGGCAGGAGTCTGATAATTGTGAAGCAAGTTGAGATCTTGTTTTTACATATATTAACCAAGTATTGCGTAACACATAAAGCTGTTTTAAAGAATAAGCAGATTTCAGGTGGTACATTTAACTCCTACAATAAGCAAGCAGCTGCTTACATGTATAGTACTGCTAACTTGAGAAAAGGGAGGAGAAAGGAAGAAAACAGATTCTGGTTAGATGTCTGCTAATATAAATCAAAGTAACTGCAGCGCTCCCACCTTTGGAATTCATACTAGGGACTAGCTCTGAAAAAGCATTTAGGTTCTCATGTATTATATATAAAATGTATTTTAACTACATGGCTTTTTCAGACTAACGAAACTTTTCTTGCATGTTTTGAAGACAGAGAATTCCTCAGTGAAATGACAGACTGGCTAAATGTGTAACTCCCGTTGCTATACCGAATGTCTTTGTTTCTCTCTGTAGATGTAAGTGTGCAGTTAAACGAAGCACGATCCCGCTGCTCCCTGCTGGAGAAACAGCTGGATTACATGAGGAAAATGGTTTCCAGTGCGGAACTGGAAAAGAAAATGGTTTTAGAACAACAGGTGAAGCCTTTTAGCATGCTAACAAGGTAGTGATAAAAAGTATAGAAATGTGTAAGATTTGAACTTTTTTATGGCCATCATTCTTCCTCAGCTCTGCTCAGGATGGTAGCAAACAGAAGCAATTTACTGTCTGACTGGCTGATGACAACTATACAATGAATTGTGTGAAAAGACTCCCTAGGTGGAACTCCTAATGAGCAAAACCGTGCTAACACTTGCACATTTGGTAGACAAAAAGGCTGCTGGAAACTGAAGTCTTCTTTGTCTGCCTTTTTCAGCACTTTACAATTTAAAAAATATTAAATTTAAACTAGTTAAACACATTTACTGCAATGTGTTTGGGTTTTTTTTTGAGTCTGAAACAATTTTAGTCAGCTGCCAACTCCATTCTTGCTTACTTTTTTCCAGGCCCAGCTTCAGAAGGAGGAAGATCAGAACCAGTTAGAACTGCATGCAAAACTTGACAAGCTTGAAATGCTAGAAAAAGAATGTCTTAAACTTACTGCTACTCAGAGAATTGCAGAAGTAAGCATGCATGGAATGGCAATCTGAGAGTCATTCATTTGATATAATTTGTATAGCATATCGTTAATAGTACTAAGTTTTGCAAAAGTTTCCTCTGTTAAAGCTAAGATCCTAAAGCACACCTGACTGAATGCCACCTTGGCTTCATTTTTCAGTCTGGGCTTTAAAAATTCCTGCAGTCTTGTTTTATCCCAGATTATAATTGCAAGATACTTCAGACTTCTGATTTGGCTTGTCAAACTGAAGTGTGACTAGTCATTCTTGTCTTCAAATTCAGGACAGGATCAAACAATTGGAAGAAAAGCTTCGTAAAAAAGAGCATCAGCTTAAGTTAATACAAGACACAACTGCTCAGGTAGACTAAAAAGATTTTATTTAATGTTATTTTTTATTACTGAAGAAAGCTAATCTCTCTGTCCAAAATACCTTTTTAAAATTTGCATTTAAACTCCATATGTTTATTACCAGGGAGGAACTCCTGGAATACTACCTAGACCAGTTACAAATTACATAGTAGAAAGCTTGTGCCAGGTGTGTTGCATATCTCAGTCAAGGAAGATGCTACTGTGTTTTGTGTTAATGGTACAGTTCAAAGCTGCTGAAAGTGATCTAAGTAGAGAGTGAATTTCTAGAGAATCTGCAACTAAATCAGATAACCTTAACTTACAGTAACTAGAAAGTGGTCATATAAGAACCTTATAGTCATATAAGAACCTATACTTACACTTCAGTTGCTTATTCTGTTTGTTTTCCTCTTTTTGTTAAGATCTGCTGAAATCTAATATGCTGGACTATACTTGGAAAAGTCTTCAATCAGTGAGACTGTTACATTGTTCATTAAGTGAGAGCTTGAATAATTCATTATTCTGTGAAGCCATAGTCAGTTTGTTGGGACACCATCTGAGAGAGGAATATTTGCCAAAGAGAGCAAAACCAAAGAAACCTTTTGTTAAAGAGGCAAAGTAGCTTCAGATATTCCAAACCTCACTTCACTGAGAAGTAGCAGCCATTTTGAAGGAGAGCAGTTGTGGTGGCATTCCCTTGGGGCAGGGTGGGAGGATGCAGAGCTGAAGAATAATATTGAAAGAACCTAGCCATAAATGAAGCTGACAGCTTAAATTAATTCATCACTACTATTCAGTTTTTATACATTATCCGAGGATGATGGGCTTTCATCAGTCCAGGGAGCTTGAAATAACACGCGGATTGTAGCCCAGGTATCTGACCACCTCCAGAATCCAACAGAATGACACAGTTGAAAACCTGCAGGTTTTTGGGTTTCTTGCTTAAGCTGCTTGCTGCAGGAGAGCAGAAAGCCTAGTATGGAGATTTTATCTTCTGAGAAACATAGTAAGAATGACTTTCCCAGAGCTTATCGTCTGACCTTAGCAGTATTATAAACATTTGCTCAAGAAAGGACTTAGGTGTAGTAAACTGAGTTCCTAAAGTAGTATTAGTACCGTCTTAGTTCACTGCAGGATCGATTTAGGTCTGTTGGATCTGGGTTGGGAAACACAGGGTGTGGGGTGGTTCATTTCCTTTTGATGACAGAAAAGCCAGAATAGCCTCACTTTTGTGATGGACCTCCAGCATTGTTTGGCCGGAACTGTTACACGTGCCAAAACAAAGTCCTTGTCCTGTGTTTAATTGGGAATGGCTATTATCCTGTTTATCATGGGCCTTTATATCAACTTTGAACTACAGAGCAATCTGAGAATTGTCCAGCAGGTTGACAGGCTCAGCTCTCTCTGCCCCCAGACTGTAAAATCCAAATGTTGATATTCTTTGGATACTTTTATCAGATTCCCAGCATACAGCAGGATTGGCTTATCTCAGTTGCTGGTTGTCGCAGTGGAAAAATACAGCTGCTGCAGCTGAATATGAAGATGAGGACTTCTAAGACAGAGCTGCAAGATCTGCCTGATACCCTGCCATCCTAGTAATCTGTTCAGTTTTTAAGTGTAGCTTATGCCTTCCAAGCAGGACAGTTAATCGTGCCCTTAATTGGTTCTCTTCCATGCATGAAAGAGGAAATTAATTAGACCATGTGATTTCATACTTCTAATATTACGTTAAATGGTTTTCTTTTTTGCTTATTCCTACAGCTTCAAGCAGGATTTGAGATAAACAGAATTTTTATGTCTTCAGTAACATCTCAAAATGAACCTAAAAAGGAAAATGGGAGGAAGATAAAAACCAAGAAGGTAACATGAATGTTTTTATTAGCATACTTTTGCCGATAGCATCTGACTCACATAGAGATAGGAATTTGTGAAAAACAGTGATGTAAGAGGCACTTGCTTTGTCTGCTGCACTTTACTCCATTTCCAAAGTGAAGAACAGTGCTGAATACCTCTTTTTTTTTTTTTTTTTTTTTCCTTTGGTAATTAAAACTGGACTAGGGCTGGTAGCACCTCGCTGGAAAACTTTCCTTTACCAGCATGACAATAACCTCTGTTACCGTTTTACTGCCATCTCCCATGTCCTGTCTTAGCTGCCTTTCAGTTTATCTGGGAACATTAGTTTCCAAAGAAATTTTAACTAGGCATCTTAAGATGGTGTGTTTTGGAGGGACTGCTGAAATCAAGAGAATTCATTTTGCAACACATGTTCCAGGTCAGTCAAAATTTTGCAACTGTGGTTTTGCAACTTAAGTAAGCAATGTTCGATTTCTTTAATGTCAACCTGTTTGTCCAACTATCTACTAAATGCATCTGGAATAAAATTTACTTGTCTCAGCTGTTGGAAAGTCCCCTACTCCTTCCACAAACAGGAGGGAAATTGTTTTTTTTAAATCAGAGGGAAACTGAGATGATGCATTTCACTGCTTGTTTATTTGAATTTTACTTATTGAACAAAAAATAGTTTAAGACTGTGCTATTGGGTCAACAGATTGAAATTTCTTGTCTTGCTTTTCCTGTCTATCTTGTGGCAGAGAAATCCTACAATGAAGAAAACGCACTTTTCACAATTACATGTAAAGGCTGGTGAACTACCTTTTGTGGCTGGGAAGGTGAGTGAAACCAAATGTTCTTGCTAAGTTGGCATCTACAGTTTGAATAAGTCTCTTTACTGTAATCGTTAATCGCTTCTGTAAACCACTTAATAATTCTGCTTTAAGTCTGTCAGTTCCAGCCATTCCGTTAGTGCAAACGTACAAAGTGTGATGCATACTATGAAGCATCGCAATCCACGTATCTCATCACGAAGCCAAGGAGGAGCTACATCTGGGATTTCAAGATGCAGTGCACCTTCAAAATCTATGTCCTCTTGTTCCACATCACCTACTGCCACTAGAAGTCTTTTGGACCTACTGTTGGCCATACGAGATGAGCTGGGCCAAATGAGCTTGTGAGTACTCATCCCTGGTATTATGAGTAAAAGTGACTTCGGCTCCACTGCCTGTGGAGCTACAGGTGTACTATAGTCGAACCTAGCCTCCTTTAAGTGTAGGACTACTTGTTGACAGTATGGCCTGAGCAGGCCTGAGTGGTAGAATTTTTCTCATTCAAACAACTCTTTCTATCCTGGTGTTTAGCTGATCCTGTGAGCAAGCAACACTCTTCAGCTGTGTTTTCCTGCTTCCACGTCCTGTACTTAACCAAGCTGCTACTGAAGTAGCAGCTGCAGCAAATGGAAAATCTTTCAAGCCTGTGCTTTTTAGAAATTTTAAACGTATTCTGAGATCTACAGAGTAGACCAAGAATATTCTTCTGGAGAAGTCTGCAAAGGTGGTGTTAATGTTGAGTAGGCTTGAAGTGTGCAGTCAGTCTGAGTGGTAGAATAGGTTAGTACAGCTGTGTCAGGGATAGTTCTGACACAATAGCTAGCCTGTTACTTTGTCCTCACTCTTTCTGTGTTCTTCCCGTATGTGTGTGACTGATGGGACTTTGTGCTGAGACAGCCTGGCATTCGTTCCCATTCCTGGTTGGTAGCAGGAGAACTTGCCAGTCCTGTACAGGGGTTGTGAAAGAGGGACAGTCTCCTGCCAAAAAAATGGACAGGGTGTGGAAGAAGCTAACACATTAGATGGGAGCGTGGTTGCTTTCTAGCCACGCAAGTAAATGTGGATTACAGCTTGTCATGTTCTTAGGCATCTTCCCATTAATGCAAACTTGCACAACTGTGGGCCAAAGCTAAGTAGCTGGTCATAGTAGACATGTCAACATGACGAGCTGTGATTTGAACAGAGGAGGATGTGTTGGTTAAACCAGTTAGAGTGTTGACACTTGTTTGAAATCTTTGATGTGGCAAAATTGAAACTGGCCACCGATCTCTTCTTCAAAAAGCTTTAACTTACTCATGGCAATTCATGGATGGGCTTTTTTTTTTTTTACAGCAGCAACGAGTTGTTTCGATTAAACTGTCAAGGAGCAGCAGTTACTCAGAAGTCAGAAAAGCAACTGTGACCTTTTTAAAGAGATTATTTATCTAAGAGAGGGTCTCTGGTTTTAACTAGTTCAGATACCTAGGGATCAAGTAGATATGCACAATTTCTTTTAATTAAGCTGGTTAATTTGATTAACCAACACACCTCGCTGTAAATCTTTTCAAGTAGAATATTTTAGTTTGAATTATCTGTCAGAAAAAACGTAAATTAAATGTACTAGTTTAAACAATACTTTTCTATATTACACTAAGCTTTCAAAGTCTGCA